AGATGGGTCGGTTATCAAGATTTGATGGTCAGACTTTGATTGGATCGGAGAGAGAATTAGCCGAGGTACGCATAAGTACCGTTGACCATTGAACCAAAAAAAAAAAAAAATTAGTCCCAACATGATTTAAACTTAGACACACCCAATTGGGATCTTGGATTTTTCAAAATCCAACTTGAATTAATGATTTCGGGTTTGATTCAAATGGAACTCGAGTTTCAGACAACATATTTACTGTGTGAATTGAATCTTAGCTTTGATCCGAGAATTGGATGCAAATTATAATCTGAATAGTGTAATCCGAGATGCATGTTGAATTCAGAAAAATCCCATCTATCGGAAAAGAGATGGGTACTTAGGAGAGTGAAAATCACAAAAAAGCTCTACCAGAAACATCTCAAGATGGTGATGAGAAAATGAAACAAATGGTTCTCTCGATCGAGCAATTCGGGTCGAACCAATCGCTCCAAGTTCCGGTTCCTTGGGAGTAGATTGCTGTAAAACAGTAAGGTCGTCACAGTGGCCGCTGGCTGAATCACCAATTCCGCCATTGTCCTTGCTAGTGATCGAAACATCAATGGTAAAATACACTGCAACAACAATTGCCATGAGACAATGACACATGTATAAACACATATAAAACCTTTCGAGAATTAAAATTTCGTTTCGTCTAAAAAAAATGGGCAAAAAAATTCAGCTTAAACTGAAATTGAAAAAAAAAATTAATGATTGAAAATTGGGAATTTACAGGTTTTCGAAGCACTATTTCCGATATTTTTTCAAAACTTGTCGAGTTGATCAAAATTATATAATACAACAAAATTTTAGTTCTTACAGTCAATACATAATCTACAGTCTATATGATACTAAACATAAGAGTGAGAGAGACATACCATAACTTTGACCGAGGAAGATGGATGAAAGAGAGAGAGAGGGGGGTGGTGGTGGTGGTGTAATGAGTGGTTGAGTTGGAGGCTGTAACTGCCAATCTTTAGCTGATGTTCACACCTACTTGTCCATGTGTCAATATCATATTATCAAGCTGTACACAAAAAAGATAGAGAGAGAGAGAGAGAGAGAGAGAGAGGCTGAGTGGTTGGTTTCATGGTGTGTGAGAGCAAAACATTGGGCGTCCTTGTTGCTGAATTTAGGGACTATCAACACCCCAATCGTTCACCATTTCATGAAAGCTATACGTATTTCAATCATCTTTCTATAGGGAAATTTTAATAACGCTATTAAACTGGTTAGGGAAATCTCATGCCTTGGTGCACAAGCCACAAAGACGTAGTTAAAGGGGAGAACTTTTCCCTTTTTTAATAGTCACGACCCATCTGCTTAAATGTCATCCATCACAACAAAAGGGCCTTTGAAGCGGAGTCAAACCCTTGTAGTCTTTAGGGTACTTTGGCTATCAGCCATGGTCATGGACCGAGGCCCGAGGCTTGGTGGGTTTGGGGTTGGAATATGGAAGGGCCGGGTTTGGATGAGGTGCAATGCAAAAGGATCTCCATGTTGTAGTTATTAAATCTTTACCACATAAAAGAATTGTGGCGTGGGGTGGGGGGTCGTCGTGAGGGAATCAAAAGAGTGTAATGTTGTAAGGATCTAATTTAAGGATTTAATGATATAATTTTGATGTAATTATTAGATTAATTGTAAATTTTAATGTTAAACGAAACCTAATACCGATCTAATTATTGTATTAAATTATATCCAAATAATCAAAAGAGGTACGAGGGTGGGTTTGCATGGGCCTACTTCTTCTTTTTACTTAACGCGAGAATGGGCCCATTAGATATTATACAAAATTATTAGATTTATTGTCTTCACTCTTGTGGGCCAAGGCCCATTAGGCGAGGTGGGTGAGTTGAGTTTTCGAAGGGATTTCTACTAAAAAAAACAAAAAAGTCTTTTGAAAGTCAACATTTTTTTGTAAACTTATTTGGATTTAAATTCGTTCAAAAAATTTGTGTGAAAATAAGTCAATTTTAATCTCCAATATTATCACCATTCTCATCAAATCAAATCTCAACCACATAAAGGAATAATTTGGACAATATTAACTAGTTAAATGAAAAATAAATTAGTCATGTTAATGCCTATCCATTAAATATTTGATAGGGTATCATTGTGTCGTTTTAACTATAGATAGGGGCTACTGTATCATTTTATAAAAGTAAGGAAGTGGTCATGTTATTTGGACAAAGGTAGGGGGGCATTAATGTAGTTTACCCTACTTGATTCTACGGTCCTCCTGTACTATATATATCCTCTTGAGCGATCAGACCAAACCCTAATCCTAGAAATCAATCATGTCGTCCAAGCAAGGTACAATTCGTTTTCCTTTATACTCTATATGAATTCTTATGTATTGACTCTTTCTTTGCATCAGAATCTTAGTTTTCTGAACTTTAAATTACTTTTTTCTCTAAGTCAAGAAATTTAATTTATTTTGTTTTGAACAGGTGGGAAAGCAAAGCCTCTGAAGCAGCCTAAGGCTGACAAGAAAGAATACGACGAGGTTTTTTTTGTACTTTTTTGGGTTATTCATAGATTCAATGGCTGATCATACATATACATATATATATATGTCGTACTAGAAGAATGAGAAATTTGCTTAATTGGGTTGATATTGATCTAGTTTTTTGGAGATCTTGCGACAACTTTTCTCTGTTTACCTGGAGAGGAAAGAAAGGAAAAGAAAATACAATAAAAGAATATATGTCGTCTTATCTAATTTGTACCACTTNCTCTGTTTACCTGGAGAGGAAAGAAAGGAAAAGAAAATACAATAAAAGAATATATGTCGTCTTATCTAATTTGTACCACTTTTTTTTGTTTCTCAAGATTTGGGAAACTTGAATTTTACGAAGCCAGATGGTGTTTGTTGTTTCGTCTTTCAATTTAATCTTTTTTGGCTTGGTATTATAGCAAACAATTAAATTTGGTAGCTCCTTATGCTGCCTACAATGTTCTCACTTGATATTTGTTACAGTTGCCTGTTTATGTGTTGGGCTTTTATGTAGCACTCTCAAGTGTTTTTTCTTTTAAAGCAAAATTAGATTGAGTTTCAGTCCCAGGCCTACTATGTACACACATCGACATGGACCTGAATAGACTGTTGCAAGCCTCCACTTTGTTTCTTTTTATTTTGAACTGAATCTTAATTTAATGTTGTCATAGTCTATTTTGCCTTATGCTTGGTTTTTAGTTGACAGCTTAGGTTTATTTGTTCCCACTGGGAACTGTTCCATTCAGTGGCATCTGCTTTTACACTTCTAAATAATCTTAGAAAATTTTAGATTGATTCTAGTATGCCATAAATTGTGTAATTTCGTGAAAGCTTTTGATGGTAGCCGTGATCAGAGTGCTGTGATGCGTTCTTCTCAGAAAACACAATTAAGTTCAACTCAATGTATATAATATGCATCTGATGCTGCCTTTTTAACGATATTTTATTTGTTGACTGGCTTGGACCTTCCCGTTGGGAAATATACCAACTTTTCTTTCGATTTCCCCAAAACTCTGCTCTGAAACCTTCTAAAGCGAAATAGGTACGTGCATGAGTGGAGAGTCTGCCTAAGTCGTGCAGCATATGCTAATTCCTGCTTGTGTGAGATCTCAGTGGAGTTATGCTGTTTGCTATGTAATTATCGTGCTGAACTAGTTTATTCTGGCAATTTGAAGTGTATCTGATTATATGCAGACCGATTTGGCTAACATTCAGAAGAAAAAAGAAGAGGAAAAGGTGAGGTGTCCACTACATGTTGTGTTGCTTTTGGATTATGATTGGCATAGAAGTTATTTAATAGTGCTTTGTTATGCTGGGCAGGCCTTGAAGGAGCTTAAAGCCAAGGCTCAGCAGAAGGGATCATTTGGTGGTTCTGGGCTCAAGAAAAGTGGGAAGAAATGAGGAGAGGGTCATAGACCCAACTCAAAACAAATCTAAATTTCTTGTGTTATGGATTACAAAACACTCTTACGTTATAGCTTGTGATTGCCATGGTGCATACTAAATTTAGTACTGAACCGTATGCAGATGTTCCTATGAAACGTTATTAAATTGTGTTCTACTTGTGTTCCTCTTGCATGTAAAATGTGTGCCAGTGTTGGGATTGTTTCAGACTTACTTATGGAATGATAGAAGTGGTTGCTGTGGTGCATACTAAATGAGTACTCAACCAGTTAATTGTATCCAGACAGATGTTGCTTGTGTTCAAAATTCGAAATGTTTCCTCACTACAACCCTGGATGTAAGGAATCACTACAGAGTTTTAATGCATATACAATGTCGAGTTTTCGGCCATTAGCATTGTGAGTTCGCGGGGGATCCTCATGCTAATGGCAATGATGAATTCAACACCTTAAGGTCATGGCAATGATGAATACAACACCTTAAGGCCATAATGTGACGGTACCGTAGAAAATACTAAAGATTAACCTATGAACATGTAAAAGACAGAAAACTACAACCACGTTAACAGGGATCCATATGTGTCAAAATACTACTATTTCAGCTGCTGCATTGCACATTCGTTCAATGTGACCCTGAAATTTAGGGATGCAAGTAAATTGTTCAAGTCCTCGTGTATATTAATAAGTGAATATCAGAATACCAATAGAGAACAAAAATTGAGGTCAGTATGATAAGATCATGACATCCAACCCATTCCCTTATAATTTGGTGGGCTGGGGGAGGAGGAACAAATGATGAGAGGAGGGAGGGGGTTTGGGTTCATATTGGCTCCAAGCTTTCAATCAAAATCAATCACTAACGATGTGATTCAAATCATAAATCAATGAATCTGACCATAAATTCCTAAAAAAAAAAATCCGCAAAGACCACAAGAAAAGTTCATACCGATAGCTAGACATTGCAGATTACTTTAATTTATACTTTACCATTTAAGTTTGACAACAAGTAGATGACAACAAAAAAGTTCCAAGAATCTTCCTTAGAATCGTCTCCCCATTTACACTAAGAGGATAAATTAATACTACTGACTTTCTGGCTTATCCGGATTTTCCTTTTCAGGGTCTTCCTCCTCTTCCTCTTTATTTTCTTCCTCCTCCTCATCTTCTTCAGGAGGATCAGCTGGAAGAGGTGGTGGTAATGGTGTTTTCATGGGGCTGAATTGGGGGAAGATGTCTGGTCGGCGCCCAGGCTTTGGTCTTTCCCACTCCTGCCATGGAAAGCAAGTGCATGAATAGGGAGTATAACATATTCAGTATTTGGAAATTTTGCAATATCAATATTATGTGCAAAATGCCATAGATGTAGACATTGCATGGTTCAAGACCGCTTCTTTTCATGATCAAGAAGACAAAAACAATTCACTGGATCAACAGGAGAGAGAGAGAGAGAAATGTTTTAACCACAACTTCAGCAGAGATGCAAGGACAATAGGACAAAGGTATGTACTGTAACAGCTGAGGATAAAGTTCTAAAGGCATCATTGCATAATAGAGTAAGAGAGACACCACAGGTTACACTGCTGGGGAGAGGAGGAAGTAGAGGAGGAGGAAGGGGAGGAAAAGAGGGGGGTAGCAAGTGATTAAATGCAGGAGAGTTGTCCACCCACATCTCCTAGCAACATCTCACCAAACAGTATTTGTTCAATCACTAATGAAAAAAGACACGGTGGCAATAGAGCATACTGCTACAAGATCACATAGTGGATTGCACAAGGTACATTTGAAGAATGGCTTTTGAAAAAGCATTAGAAAAGCTACTAAGTAGTATTTTGGCAATCTCTTACATTCTATGGCATGAGACAACTGCCCAGAAAGTCATCTCCACACCACATGCGAGCGAATATAGTTTATTAAGTGTGGAAAACAGAATGAAAAGCTTTAGAAAGTCATAAGGTCGATCTAATAATCTGCTTAAATAGATGGATCTCATATCGTCCTTTATCTCTGTTGGAAATTATAAAATCCAAGATCTGCAAACAGTCCAGCATGTGGGAAGTATAAAGAGAAGCATTTTCACCATTATTTTGATTTTTTCCGTTAGTAGGCATACAGCTTGACAAAGGCAAAGTATAACAATGGTATTTGTTTACAGTTCATGTATATTTTGCCTTCACACCATTCTTACCCAGTAAGAAGATCAGAACATAAAATCGCAAGCCATTCGTGTTTAGTTTGCGACTATTGAACAACCCACAAATAATGGATCCATGCAAATGCAGAATTTCCAGCAAAGTTCACCATAAACAGAAACTTGATGCACACATTATGTATGCCCCATGACAAGTGTAGTACAACCCCGGCAATATATGAATCCAAAGAATCCAAGTTATTGTTCTCAACGAGAAGTAAAAATTCGTAGGCAATGTTTTCTGTACGATGACGATGTCCATATTATAGAAATAACAAACTGGTGTTCTATTTGGAAAACTCGATATGTAGGAGAAAATTAAAACTGCGCTGTATTTTTTTTCCCAGTAGTACCTGCGTTGTATTATCAAGAGTGGATTTCTTCGAAATTTTGCACTTAATTGTTTCTTTTCCTATTGCATTCTTCCTTTTCACTGAAAATTCATACCATGCTCAGCAATCAACAGTAACCAAATTCAGACACGGTTAATTACTTACGGAACTTGAACACCTAAACCCTACTGCTACAATAACAACTTAATTGAACTTTTTCTTCATTTCCTCGGCAAACAGACACAATAGAATAATCAAAAACATTGAACCAAAAGTTAAGCCACAAAGGGAATTCAACGAAAGCGCACAGAGAGAGAGAAAAGGAAAAGTAGTGGAAAGGGATGGGCTTACGATAGGGAAATCGAGGGGGGAACGGCGAGTCATCTTCTCTTCTTCGGGAGCCATACGAACTACCTGTGAATTCCGACGGAGGCTGGGTGTAATTGATATTCGTGGGAAAGTGAGAGACGGCATAAGGAAGAGAGATTCTGGTCGCACAATAGTTTGGCGGACACGGTTGCTCCTGCTCGACGAAGACGTCGATGAAGATGAAGGGCACAGCAACAAGGCCGTGGAAGTTGAAGAAGTTAGAGACAGTGAGATGGACAGAAACGCCATCGCCGCCGCTTGCTTGTCGGTTGTTCCGCCTTCCAC